CACGTGCTCTTTTAGCACTGGAAAGGTGGTAATGCTGGGAAGAAATGCATCCCTGCAAGCACCTTCTGCCACTACCAGCAACTGGTCTCCTGCCCACTGAAAAACTGGTATTTCAGAGTCCCTGGGAGAGCTGGTATGAGCCTGAACCTCGAGAAATAAACTACTTGCTGAGGGCTCCAGCTGATCAAACCATGAGGTTATGCTGTACACTCAGCTTTCCTTTTGCCTTCTGAAGTTCACTTTTAGGTGTCAGGGTTCTGAAGTGTGTCTTGGGAGTACAATTCAAGGGGAGCTGGAAACCCAGGACAGTCCACACTGAACCACCTCAGCTTCCTCCTTTGTTTTATGTTCCTTTTTAAACATCTCAGGCCAGAGGCCTATTGCTTTCGAGGACCCTGGCTGCAACGCCCCAGGAGAAGCCCTGGAGCTCTGTTGGGAGAGCACACAGTGCCCAGCTCAACAAATACACTCCAGCTGTGGACTGAGCAGAGGGATCCCTCCTACTGCACCCGCTCCTCCTCTGACTCATCCGTCCTCCTTCCCCAGGCTGGAAAACCTCACATCTCCCACAACCACTGACCCACCTAAGGCTCCATCTGCAGCCACAGTGGCACGGAGTCAGCACAGCCAGGGAGTCCCCCAAGAACAGGAGTGGGCAAACCTCCAGCTTGAAAAAGAGTGTTTTTGTTGTTGCTGATGTTGTTGAAATTAACTGCTCTGACTAAAAATCATTGTTACCCTCACATCCTGGAGCCTCAGATGTCTGGCAGATGTAACTGCTCAAGTTCCCTGCGAGTCGGGAACACAAGAATCCTTGTAGGAATCTTTACAGAAATTCCACAACTGAGTTTGCCGAGGGGGATCAAAAAGGATTTTACTATGTGCAAGTATCTGTAACCACCACAACTTCCACTGTAACTTTTAAATACGCTGTTAAGATTATTAACCATAAATACTTGATCCCAAAGGGAACCGGTGGGGTGGGATCCTCCAAAATTAAGTATCTCAGCACAACGTGGAGAGGAAGCCTTCTCAAGAGCAGCATGTTACAGCTGACCTTGTATGACTCAAGACTTCTGACACCACTTGTTAATGAAACAAAACAATAAGAGTGGTCATAAGACCATTGCAGATGAGGAGAGAAAGAATAAATGAAGAACAAAATCCATTTCAGTAAGTCAGTGTGTCAGCAGTTTCTAGTTCCAATTCTCAAGTATTCACAGCTCAGCTGCCTGAGTTTTCTCCAAATCAACATTTGGCACAGCTGGCTCCGGCCTGGACACAGAGGTGCAAGCAACCAAAATTTAGGGGAGAGGAAAAAAAACAGGACGGTAAGACGAACAGGTGAAGAGGATTTGGCAACCTCACAAACCGTTCCAGAGCCGGGAAGGGAGGGGTGCCAGCCCAAGCGCATATTAAAACCCTGGGCACGCTGCAAACAGCGAAATGACTACCCAACTTATTTTTGCTCGCTAACTTATTTTAGCGTGTGCCGGATCAGGTCCCTCCCTGCCCGCCCAGGCTGCACATGGGGCATTGCCGACCCCGCTCGGCCGCTGCCAGGCCCCCTC